GAACATCAAGATATAAATAATACTAACTGGACGGCAATACATAACAATACTAAATCTGAATAAACAAAATAAGATAATTACTCGTAGAGGGTGGACCGTTATTTATGGCTATAAGAAAATGTACTACCTAATTTTTTAAAATTTCAACTTTTAAGGAAAAGATAAACTGTGTCGGCAATTTACAGTTAATTCACTTCTCTGATTTAGTAGAGATTGTTTTGTCAGAAAATCTGATAACTTCTAATTTTTCGTATAAGCATAAGAAGCAAGCTTCATTTAAAGATTCACAGGTTCCAGCATTTTTTAGTATTTTACATTTTACCATAGGAGTTTTAACTTCTTTTAAATTCCAAAAATATTTAGAAAGGGACGTCATATTTATATAAGCATTATTGGTGAAAGATAATATATGTTGATACCACCTAGTTTTAAAAGAATTCTTGTTACTCCCAATATAAAAATTTTTAACTATTGAATATTCTATAGTAGAAACAATATGTAGTTAAACAAGAGAGTCAGTTTTACATCGGTTTTGCAATGGGCATTTGTTAGAATTTCTACAATAACACTAATTGGTATTATCGTTGTTTATTGCTTTGAAATGGCTATTATTACTCAGATTTTTGTATTGGTTTAAAATTTTATTATTATGTTTTTAATATTTTATTTAAGATTATCTGTACAGCTAAAGCTAAGTTTTAGTGTATTTCTGTTAAAAACTTTACTGGGTGGATTATTTCTGGGGAAGTCTTTAGCAATTAAATTGTGGAACTTCAGCCCTAACTTGGTATTAATTATTTGGTTAAACGAGGGCGTGTACCAAATGATTTTCCTGTTTCTATTCTTATTCTTAAGATCGCTGCTGTTATGTTTTATATATTTGATGCCAGTTATGTTTTATATATTTGATGCCAGGGCACTTATAGCAACTATTTTTAAGGCATTGTTGTAAACTGTTTGTTTACAACAGAAAATAATCCCAGAAATAATTTGAGGAGGCACAACGTAGTGACTAAACACGAAGGCTATTGTGTAGCGATTTCAGCATGTTTTTGTTAATATCTTATATCTAATATCTAATAATATGTAATCCCTATTTTATACGCGTCTACAATGTGCTGACCAAGTTTGGAAAATAAAACATTCCTATAACTCTAGATACATACATAAACATTCCATACATTCAGTTAAAAGTAAAAAATAAAGTCATCCTTGATAATGGCTAAAAGTATAACCGAAAACGCTCGGATGTACAGAATATTTGGACAATTCCTAAATATTTTATATATATACCGGGTGTAACAGCAAAATTGTCCAAATCGTGTAACACCATAATTGTCCATTCTACAAAATGATTAATATCTAAAAAAAAAAAAAAAGAAAACACTAAATTAATTGAATTTCTTTTTTCCAGGTTTTCACATAAGACGCTTAACTATCTTGAAACCATTTGTCGTAAGAATCACTGAAAAACCCTTTAAATTATTCAGTTAGAAAGAAAACAGGTTTAAAATCGTTTTGTGTCTTACCAAATGAATAATGTTGTGATGAAAAAAAAAATCATTCAGGCGTTCAGTAATGCTACCAACATTCATATTCTGGCTTTCATCTTCAGAGTCCATTCAAGAATCACCAAGAGAATAGTTTAAAAGTTTGAAAGCGGAAAGTTTGAAAAGAAGAGGGAACAGTAGATAGGAAAACTGGATCAGGAAGTCATGACAGGAAGAGAGTTCTTCATTTCAACTTAACGCTAAAGAGATCAATTAGAAAAGATCCAACTCAATCCATAACATGTTTGGCACGCGAGAAAGGCGTTTCACCTATGCCAGTCCAAACAGCAATAAAAAAAAAGCCTTGAAAATGAAATTGTACGTGAAACCTCTGAAGCACCTTGTTACTCCAGAACAAAAAGATCATCTTGAATGAGTTGGAAAATGTTCCTGGAATGATAAATATATATTTGAACTTCATTTCAATTCTTTATGAGCTTCCGATCCTTAGCTATGATTAATTAATGATCGATTATCGATTAATTTTCGACTTCATTACGATTCTTCTGTTAAACTTAGAAAGTAATTATGCATTCTTATAGCTCAAAGTAGAGTCCAATAGTGTTATAAAAACCTCAGAGAATTCCAGTAAGATATTTTTAATCATTTCTAAGATACAACAGTTCAGAGCTTAATCTAACAACTGGACAATTTTGCTGTTACACGATTTGGACAATTTTGCTGTTACGCGATTTGGACAATTTTGCTGTTACGCCCGCAAACTTGGATTAAAAAGAACTGACAAGGTTATTTATATTTATTGTATTTTTTTTTTTTTTTTTCAATTTTCGGATAAGTTGAGTATTGTGCTCAGAGTTGTGTGATTTTGTTATCTTTGTTCAAGTACTTTCGACTTTCGCAGAACCGATATGTTTTTTGTATGGCAGTTAGACTTCCTTTATCTGCATTCGGGTTTCCTTTGAAAAGCTAGACGTTTGATATATATATATATATATATATATATATATATATATATATATATATATATCAACACAGAAATGAAAGCTAAAAAGCGCTCAAGAAAAATTGTCCGAAGCTTAGAGTTTAAATAAAAATATTCGTAAACAAAGAACTTTCGTTGTTTTTCAACCATTCATATATATGTATAACATATACTTAAGCAGCAATACTTCATTTAAATAATTTTTATTAAAATCCATCGACTCTATCAGTCAGGTCCGCTGTATTCAGTTACCCGCAAATACCCTTGGGAAAGAGATGATTTCATCTCTTCTAAACCCACCCCAGATATGGATGAATAGCAGGGCAGAATGGGCCCTATAGCCTTGATTGGCAACCAGTTTAAAAGAATAAAAACTGAATTCAAACCACCCTGACGAGTTTTGGGCTACGTCAGGCTATCTTGCCCAAGACACACCACTGCTGGTATGGCTGCAGTACATGTGGTACCCCAATTGCTCTCCGGTGTTAACGGACACATGATTGTGATTGCGATTGAGAACGTAAAAGCAATGGCTTCGATTGTAATTTGAACTTGCACCTCCAATCCCACTTATTGCGCCGGTAACATTAATTTTTACTGTAAATTGAATAAAAGAAAGCATTACATATTTTGTCTATGACATGTTACTATACCCATAAGCTGCTGTTATGATTTTTTCTCGTGATTTTTCCTGCTATTCTTTCTTTTTAGCCTGTGAAAGGTTCTTTTTTTGGGATATCGGCCTTCCCTAGATCTTGTCATCTTTTCCGATTATATACTAGTCTTGACCATCGATGTGGAAATTTTTCTGTCATAACGCCATTTTGTTTTCTGTCATAACGCCATTTTGTTTTCTGTCATAACGCCATTTTGTTTTCTGTCAGCCTCTGTTTCTTGTGTGACTCGTAACATTCAAAATGTGCTTCTTATTGTCCATCTGTTCTTCTCGTCAGGTGGCTTGTTCATTTCCATTTAAGTTAGCTGATTGTTTCTAAAATATCTCTGACATTGGGTTTTTGCGGATCCATTAGGCTGTTTTATGATCTCGCCATGTGATATTTAACATGATTCTTTTATCGGTTCTTTGGACCCTTCTGGGCTTTAGTTTCTTTCTTGATAAAGTTCCAGGTTTCCGCTCCGTAGGTGACTGTTGACAAAATGCATTGGTCGCAGACTTGGCGTTTTCTACTATAACACATCATCGTAATTATTGACTTTTCTTTCATTACATTTTATAACCGTTGAAGATTCTCAATACAAAAAATTTGACATTACTTGGTTCCTTATAGTTGTGGTATGTATCAAAATAAATAATGATTTGTCAATTACCAGCAAACTAGTGAACAGTATTTTTTTTGCTTTTGTTTTATTTATGTTTTGTATTGTTTACGTTTTGTTTATGTATTTGTTTTGTTTTATTTTTGTTTTTGTTTCTGTTGTTTTGTTTATGTTTTTGTTTGTTTTCGTTTTAATGTTTATTTTTTGTTTTTATTTTGCTTAGTTTATGTTTTTGACTTTTTCTCTATTATTTATCTCAAATTTACATTCTCAAGCACCTTTTTCTCAAATGACTTCCTCATTTTTGCTCTTTCCTCTCTGTTTCTTACTCCCTCACTCTCACGTATGTACATGTACACACGCATGCACACGCGTATACACATGCAGAAATATACGCAGTATCTTTTGGTTCTTGTAACTGTTTTACCGTCAGATTTTCTCTGTCAAGTACAATTTGTTATTTCGCAGCACTGTTTCTCTCTCTCTCTCTCTCTCTCTCTCTCTCACACACACACACACACACACACATACATACACACACACACACACACACACACATGGGCGCGCATATTCTTTTTTTCATGCACACAGCCTCACCTCTCTTTCTATCAAACATATTTTTGTTCATTCTCAAACACAAACTCTCTCTCCCATGTTCTCTCTCTCTCTCTCATACACACACTATCTCATACATTAGTATATACAGACACACTCTCTCTCTCTCTTTCTCTCACTCCCTATCTTCTCTCTCTCTCTTCCTCCCTATATTCTCCCTCTTCCTCTCTCTCTCCCTCTCTATCTTCTCTCTCTTCCTCTCCTTCTTCCTCTCTCTCTCCCTCCCTATCTTCTCCTTCTCTCTCTCTGCCTATCTTCTCCCTCTATTTCTCCCTCCCTATCTTATCTCTCTCCCTCTCCCTCTTCCTCTCTCTTTCCCTCCCATCATCTCTCTCTCCCATCTCTTCCCTCTCCCTCTCTCCTCTCTCTCTCCCTATCTTCCTCTCTCTCCCTCCCTCTCTTCTCTCTCTCTCTCTCTCTCTCTCTCTCTCTTCTTCACTTAAAAGATGCAGGTCAAAACAAAACAAACAATCCTTTTAGCTTGAAATCTTTATTTTGGTATCGTCTGAAGTTTAGAAAAAATAAAGCTAATTATAAAGAAAACTGATCCAAGGAGTCCGCCATAAAAAGTCGCCTGTCGAAAGCCGCCGAACGCTGTCCTTAATACGATCTTGATAGACAAAGAGATGAGATGGACAAATAAGACGAAGACTCTATCTATTGAAGTCTCTGATCCTATGTTTCCCATTTAGAAACTAAGTTTTTAAATGATTAAGCCACAAACGCCAGTAACCTACAACAATAAGGTGAGATTTTGCTTCCCTCATCCACCTACCACCTTCTATCTATGAAACCTTTTATTCTTGGGTGGTCTCTTAAACAGCTCTGCCTTCTCTTATACGATGTGTATTCAGATTAAATTACGTGCAGACGATAACCTCAATATTTTCTTTATCACAGGTTAAATCTCTTGAAATTTTGTGATATGAGTGGAAAAAATTACGGAAGTCTGGTGGTGTGACTCTTCCTATAGTGTCATTTCCTTAACCTGTCGGATCTTGCTCTTGGGCCCCGAGAAATATATGCGCGGGACAGAATTAGGCTACAGAAACCACAAGATCAACAGCTAACGTGGTGAGGCTATAGCCCCATGCTAAAGAGGAGAATACACACACACACACACACGCACACACGCACACACACACACACATATATATATATATATATATATATATATATATATATATATATATATATAAGAACATTGAAGTAAACACTTAGAGGCGACAGTGGCCTGACGATTGCGTCTAGCATGAAACGGACTGTCGCCTCTAAGTGTTGACTTCAATGTTTACTTTATATTTACACACGCTCTATCTCTGATATTGAGTACTTTATTCCATGAATATAGCACACCTTAAGACTATATTTCTTCATATATATATATATATATATATATATATATATATATATATATATATATATATATATATATTATGAAATGGACAAAGTCCGACAATTATTTTAAGACATTTTTAATGTTTAACATTCTTTTATAGATATATTTATTATAAACAGAGCATTTACTTAAATATTAGTATCTATAAAAAGAATGTTAAACATAAAAATGTCTTTATATATATATATATATATATATATATGTATGTATGTATGTATGTATGTATGTATGTATGTAGTAATCCGTTGGTATAATCCAAGTGAATCCTATTAACACAATATAGAAATTTAAATATTAAAAGTTAGAGCGCTCATTAAACAGGGCAAAATTGAAATTAAGATACCATTAGTTAATTACCATTTTCAACTACGTATTTTAATTTCAAATTTTGCAGGATTTTTCAAACTGTTTATGGTATTAGTTTGTAAAAGGAAACTGGTTAGTTGGGGAAGGAAAGAGAGAGAGCGTTAGAGGGGACATTGTGGGAGATATGACAGAAGAAGGCTTCGTTACAGGAAGTGATGTGAGGTATTATATTATGGAAGTAGGAGTTTACAGGGTGGATAGAAGGGAAACCTGGCCGTGGGGAGAGAAAGGGAACCCGATGAGCTGACCTACATCTTAATGGTCACACGGCTAAAGTTTGATTCAACCTGAATCTACGGAAATTAACGAATAAATGAAAAAACCCAATTTTTATAAAATATCAAGAGATAACCTTAGTGAGATGAAAGAGAGATAATTCAGAATTATTAATGTATTAAATTCGTCCATATATTAGAACCCAAAATTTAGGGAAGTGTTTTCCAAGATTTGAAGGGAGTTTGAATATATATGCGCACATAAGCGTTCGTCCACGAATATATATGAACAAATTTAATACACCAATAATGGTATCTTAATGTCAATTGTGAGATATATATACGGTGGAGTAATGAATAGCGGCTTGGATTGAGGAATCGGAGAGCCGAGTTCGAATTCCAGTCGAATCCATTACATTCACTTACGTGCTAATACCCTTGGGAAAGGTGTGAATCCTCTTCTTCTCCCTCCATCTATGGGTAAATAGCAGGACAGACTGGGTTCTATAGCCTTGGATGGCAACTGGTCTAGGAGAAGGAAAACTCTGAATTCAAACCTGCTCTTAGATGAGGGTGAATGGAGTCTCTCTGGTTGGCAATCCATTTAGTGTTGGTGTCACGATAAAAACACCCTTGATAGCGAAGCATCAAGTATTCAGCTATTTGACAAGATTATGAACTACACCAATCAAAGTATTGGTGAGTTCAGTCTCGGCTGAGGCCGCAAGATGATGATGATTGCCTCGCTTGAGCTAAAAACCACAAAACAGACACGCACACATATTATATACATATATATATATATATATATATATATATTTATACACGTTTCATTAAATAATATAGACAAGTGTTGTCTATTTATTTTATGTAAAATTTTTTCGTATCTTCTGATAAGTTTGGTAACATTATCATTAACCGAAAAAAGAAATTCACAATATTTATCCATTATTTTTTAATAAAATCTAAGCTTTCGGCTTACTCAAGCCATTATCAAAGATGTAAATACAAACATATCAAACAATATACGGACACGACAGTGATGATATATATATATACACTTGTCTATATTATTTAATGAAACGTATAAATGAAAATATACACAATATATATATATATATATATATATATATATATATATATATATATATATATATATATGGATATATATTATTATAATAATAATAATATAAGTAATTATACTCGTCTGGAAAAACCTTAGGTGTTATGGTTTGTAAATGAACAAACCAATACCCAAGGAAAAATAAGGGACAAAAAAAAAAGAAAGAACTAAGAACATGTAATTGAGGCGAAAACAATCGTCCAGAATCCAAGTAAAACAAAAGTAACTATGTAAAGTGCTCAATACACTAAGTAGAGCAAATCTAACTATGAACCTCAAGAAGCAGGCAAACCTACCTAGGTTTCACCTACGCGGATCGTCAGGGTACGCTGACGATCTAGGTAGGTTTGCCTGCCTCTTTAGGTTCATAGTTTTATATATATATATATATATATATATATATATATATATATATATATATATATATATATAAAATTTATGACAAAGTGGAAAAAATTTACTTATGACGCGTTTCCTCCTTTAGGGTTTCATCGGACTAAATTTGTTGGCAGAACTACCCATGCTTATGAACAAGGGATACTGGTAATTTCATAATTTTTTTTTTTTTTTATCAAGCCGAATTCATTTAGAATCTTTTTCTTTTTCTTTCCATTATTTTTGTAAGTGGGTATTCCACACTTTGATGCTAGAAGATCTGCCAGGAATGGTGAGAGGTTGTAAAAACTAGGGCGCAAATTTATTATAAATGATCTCACGATTAAGGTACTCACTGGACATTTATGTCGGATTTATTATTTTCTCCTTTGTCTTTGATTGGACCAAATGGTACATAAATTTTAAATACCAGAACAAAGTTAACAAAATTAATAACAAAATGAAAAAAATTTTCGTTTCATTCTAAAATGTAATGTTTCCAACATTAAAAAATATATTAAAATAAACATTTACGTTGTATTCGTCACGTAATTTATTACAATTATCTCCTCCTTACATAAATTTTTCAAACATCAGTTTGTCGATAAATGTGTCAACACCTCATAAAAACATCCACCAACCTGTTAAAAAAATGTGATAAAAAATTTAAAAAAATATATTTTAAACTAAAATAATATTTAGTAGATATTTATAATGATAACACAATATTTTAATTCTGTGTTAGTATTAAGTCCGACATTTCCGTCAAAATTAAACTAGCAAATTCTCTCGAAACGGACCTGCAATCAGTGGTTAACTGAGGCAACGAACGGCTTGTGAATCTTAACGCAAACAAAACAAAACTGCTTTCATTTAATCATCATAGACACATTTTTCTGTCTGTCATCTGATACTAACCTCTAAGAGAGCAACACTTTGCACATGATGCTAACCTCCAGGAGGGTGACATTTTGTACATGATGCTAAACTCCAGAAGAGCAACACTTTGCACCTGATGCTTTCCTCTACTGTGTCTCGACTACATGAATTCAAGCGTTTATATAAGATTGACAACTAGATTTCACCGTTCTACTGTTGAACTAGATGAACGCAACCGTATATTCTTTTTCTAATAGTTTATTTTCACACACTTTTCGCCTGTGGAACACCATTCCGATTTCTTGCTTCCCTGTCAACTACAATCTTCAAAAACATTAAATACAACGTCAATCGACATCTTCTAAATAACGAGAAATTTTTAAGGAAAATGGAGTCAAAAAAGATGCTTATAATTTGAATCGGAAAGAGAGAGTTGAAATTTCTAGAACAGAACGCATAATGAGGAAAGAGGGCCTGGAGAATTTGACATATTGAAAGGGTAAATGACTGAGAGAAAAGGTTAGTAGTCTAACCAGCTTGTGTAAATTATGGCAGCACAGGGAATTAGAGATGTGGTGAAAAGACAAACCATACTATAAGGTACAAAGCATAGGAAGTTGTGGAGAGATATAATTTTCCTATGACCTGAAGGGACACGTTAGATACAAGAAGAAGACAGATCATCTGCCTGAAATCTGTTCTTTTCTTTACCTCTCCTCATTTCTCACTAAATTCTTTTACTGTCAGTAGCTCTATGCGTCTTAGTGGCATTATCACTTTGCTTAATTGATTTAAAAAAAAGACAAGCTGTCGTTAAATTTAATAGGCAATGTTTATCTGTTTAATTTTTACTATATTTTTCGATTTTATGGATAATTTGTCATACATACGGATCAAATTCGAGGAGAACCTCTACAATATTTTTGTTCGAGTACTTTTGACTATCTCAGTAATCACTAACAGCAATTGAAACCCACATACTTAGCCAAGTATTCAGTTTTTATTTTCATACGCAGCCCACTGACTTTAACACTACTCCAACATTTTCTCGTTTTCTACCAGATCAAATTAAATATTCCTGATACTGCAGGTAAAAAAAAGCAGATAATTTCTCCTCTTCTTCTTGTATGTGCTGTGTCCCTTCAGGGCGTCGAAAATTATGGCTCTCGTCAACTTCCAGTCCTTTGTAGCTCTTAGTAGAATGTTATTTTAGTACATCTCTCAATCTCTGTTCTGCCACAATTTACACAAACTCAAGTAATACAAAAGTCTTAAAGAATTTTTAAGTTTTAAAAATTTACAAATTATTATGATTCAAATTTTGAAAAAGTTATAACAATTCTTGTAAAAAAATAATTGTTCACCGAAACTTTTTGTTTTTCTTAAGATAATAGTCTCCATAATATATTTTTTATTTATAAAAGCAATTAAAATATTTTATAATTGACTAATGTCTTAGTTTTATTGCAATTTTTATTTTGCGATTCGGAGCAGATTTTCTACAACTCGGGGTCCTGTTTAACCAAAAATGTTTGAGTAAATTCTCCGACAACATCTCATTATAATTAATATGAACATTAAGTGCTACAAAAAACAATCTCACGAAATTTCCTAAAATTAAATAAGTGAGAAGTAACAGATTTTCTAAAGTAGAAAGATTTAAAAAATAATTTAATTCATTTGTGAATATTCTAAAAAGCTTCATTAAAATCCAACAATCGTCTGATTTTTGCAAGAATTTCCAAATCAATGTCTTTTACACCGCAAGAAGACGCTAAAATTTCCCATACTAATTTATGGTCACAACGCTAACCCAAGGAAAACAAAATCTTTAACCAAAATTTCGAAGATTCTAAAATGGATCGAAAAATACAATTTAATAATAAGAAAAACTGTTGGTCTTTCCTCTTAATAATAACATAAAGATTTTGATGATAAAACTTTGTTTTTATTAAGTTTAGGGCAGTTTTCATCATGCATGCTCATTTTATATATATATATATATATATATATATATAATTTTACAGTCTTCCTAGCTATTTAACCCATGCCTAGGAGGAGGAGAGGAAATGAATTCATACCATTCTTAAGATTATGAAAACAAAAAGGGCACTTATACTTAACATCAGGAAGAGACAGTTGATATTTTGAAGGTTTAAGATAAATAATAGACAAAATTTATTAAGACCTACAAAGGACAGGAACGTGAGAAGAAGAAGAAGAAGATGAAGAAGAAGAAGAAGAAGAAGAAGAAGAAGAAGAAGAAGAAGAAGAAGAAGAAGAAGAAGAAGAAGAAGAAGAAGAAGAAGAAGGGTTAGGATGGCGAAGAAGGGAAAGATGAGGCGGAAGAAAAGAGGAGGAGGAAAAAAGAGAAAGCCGAAGAATAAAAAGAAAGAAAGAAAAGAAAAGGAGAAGGAAGAAAGTGAGGCGGCAGAAGAAAGAGGAGGAGGAGGAAGAAGAAGAAAGAAGAGGAGGAAAAAGGAGAAGGAGGGCAGAAAATTAAAAGGAAGAAGAAGAAGGAGAAAATAAGAAGGAGTAAGAAGAAAAGATGGAATAAGAAAGTGAAGGGGGGAGAAGAAATAGGGAGAGCAGGAAAGAGTAAGAGGAGGAGAATGTGGAGAACAGGAAGAGGAGGAGAAAGAAGGTGAGGATGGCGAAGAAAAAGTGGAAGATGAGGAGAAAAAAGAAGAGGGCGAAGAATAACAAGGAAGAATGAGAAGAAAAGGAAGAAGAAGGGGAAAGTGAGGCGGGAGAAGAGGAGGAGGAAGAAGAAAGGAAGAAAACAGAGGAAGAGGGCGAGAAAAAGAAGAAGAAGAAAATAAGGAGGAGGAAGAAGAAGAGGAGATGGAATAAGAAAATGAAGTCGGAAAAAGAAATAAGGAGACTAGGAAAGAAGAAGAAGAAGAAGAAGAAGAAGAAGAAGAAGAAGAAGAAGAAGAAGTGGAGGAGGAGGAGGAGGAGGAGGAGAAAGAAGGAGGATGGCGAAGAAAAAGGGGAAGATGAGGAGTAGGAGAAAAAGCGAAGGAGGAAAAGAAGTAGAGCAAAGAATGAAAAGGAAGAATAAGAAAAGGAGAAGAAGAGGAAAAAGTGTGGCGGAAGAAAAAGGAGGGAGAAGAAAGAAGTGGAGGAAAAAAAGAGGAGGGTGAAGAATAAAAAATAAGATTAATAAAATAAGGAGGAGGAAGAAGAATAAGAGCTGGAATAAGAAAGTGAAGGTAGAAGAAAAGTAGGAAAGAAGAAAAGATTGAGAAAGAAGAAGAATATAACGTACTCGGCTCTCTGATTTTTCATTCCATGCTGCTATCAATTACACCATCCGAGTAAAAATAAATAATGTCGACTATGCTTTACAACTGAAGACTCCTGTTATTACTAGGTGTAAATAGATAACAGGAATTTAATTAAAGAAATACTCTTAAAAAATAATCATAACAATGACTTATCTAAAAAATCTAGACAGCTTAAGACTAGTAGAGAAAAAGAAATAGAATGAAGTAATTATGGTGATAAAGACGGAAATTTGTCTTTAAAGATCTTCAAAAAAACTATCAAAATACAAGGGAAATCTTTAAAATGTGGTACATGAAACATCAGTAATTTCAGTTGTGGCTGGAGCTCTCAGATTGATTCGAAAAGGTTTTGATAGAATCATTAAAAGGATCCCAGGTAGTCTATGCCTTAAAGAAATACAAAAGATTATTCTTATAAGCAGAACTTACGCCTTACGAAGGGCTTTATCTGTGAAAAATGTGTGTAGTTTAGGTTGTTTTATTTTTATTTTTCTTACAAAATATCATGAAGTCATTCTTAACCTTAGATCTCTGGTCGGGACCCGGAAAGAAATGGGTACACACCAGAAATCAAAAGAAATAATAATAATAATAATAATAATAATAATAATAATAATAATAATAATAATGTATATTATTATAGGAAATATGTATACAACAAATCAAAGGAAATAATAATACTAATAATAATAATAACCGCTGCCATCTGCAAAACCAAAAACTGGAAAGCAACAGGAATAAACCGAATAGCCAATTTTTGGATAAAAATAAAACCTATCTAGCACCCACCAAAACCTCGCATGGGCATACAATGATATTATCATAAACCCAGAAAGATACCCTAAATGGCTCACGTGGAGAGTAACATACCTCCTCTCCAAAACAGAAGAGACGCAGAACCCTAAGAATTATAGGCCCATCACTTGCCTACCAACAATGTACAAGATCTTCACTTCTATCATAACCGAGAGGACATACATCTTCCTTGAGAAAAAACAATTTATTCCTAGCAGAACAGAAGGGAGGTAAAAGAGGAAGTTACGGGTGTAAGGGCCAACTAATTATCAATAAAACAATATTGGAAGAGGTAAAAACAAAGAATAGAAACTTATCGATATCATAAAGGCGTCCGACAGTGTACCATACTCATGAAAAGAGAAGAGCCTAAAAATATACAGAGTATGCCCCACAACGCTCAAATTGATAACGGAGAGCATAAAAAACTGGAAGACTACAGTAAATCTAAACCACACAAACGGGTCATTAACATCGAGATCAAACAATATCAACATCGGGATCTTCCAAGGAGATTCATTATCACCACTACACCTCTGTCTTGTATTAGAGCCACTCAGCTGCCTACTGAACAGAAGTATCTACGGATACAAGTCACAGAACGGCAAACTCAATCACCTATTCTATATTGATGATCTCAAAACATTTGTCAAGGATGACAACCAGCAGAAAAACCTATTCACCATTATAATTGTCTTCAGCGAAGATATTAGGATGGAGTTCCGAATCGACAAATGTGCCAAAGCAACTTTTAAAGGCGGTAAACTAACGAAAACTACAGATTTAGACCTTGATACCAACAACAAGATTAAAGAACTACACCAAGATGGTACATACAAATACTTATGAATTAATGAAGGAGACTGAATACAATATTCAATTATGAAGAAAGAGATCCGAAAAGAATATTATAGGAGTGTGCGTTTGATACTAGAAAGCAAACTTAATTGGGTCAATAAAATGAAGGCTACCAACATCTTAGATATACCTGTAGTAACATATAGCTTCAACATTATTAAATGGAAGTGGAATGACATTAAAAGATTGGACACCAAAACCAGAAAAATGCTTACCCAAATGAGGATGCACCACCTGAAAACAGATGTTAATAGGCTGTACGTACCATGAGCATTAGGAGGCCGAGGTCTAATCCAACTTGGACTAACTCTAAAAACTACAACAATCGGATTGGAAGCCAAAAACCAATGATCTTCCTCTACAAATAGTAAAACTGTCACATAATCAAGGATGGAAATAACCCGAAATGCAGGATCTGCGGAAAATATTATGAAACTGTCAACCATATTATTTCGGGGTGTTCGGAACTGGCAAAAAATGAATATACCCAGAGACAAAACAAGGTAGCGACAGATGTGCACTGGAAGATATACAAGAAGCACAAAATCGAAACCACTGAGAGATGGCATGAGCACTAACAAGATACAATTAGCCAAAATAACGATGTAACTATCCTCTGGGACATACCAATTCAAACTGACAAATAAAGCCAACAGATCTAATATTATCATAAAAGACAAGAAATTCAAGAGCTGTATGCTTATTGACATAGCAGTACCATCTGAAAGAAACATCTCCATAAAAATTATTGAGAAATTGTCCAAATACAAGGGCCTGGTGATTAACAGGATGTGGGGAATTAAGACTGAGACTGTACCAATAGTAATCGGAACCCTGGGCCCGTGAGAAAAGGAATGGACATTTCTACTAATAGTGTTCCAGGTAACATCGTCATACAAGTTGTCCTGATGATCGCCCTACTAGGAACATCCCATACACTAAAAAAAGTGCTATCAATTAGATGACAATTCTCCTATAGAGCCTAAGGACCATAGTTTGAACCCGGCTCTACAGGATACAAAGCAGGAAACATAACATACACAAATAATAATAATAATAATAATAATAATAATAATAATAATTACAATGATGATGATTCATGTAAAAATTCGAACAAGAAATTCTGATTTAATTTCTTCTTATGCGATGAACTAAGGAGATGCTCAGATATCCGACTTCGAAAATGAAAATTATTTTTAATTTATATTAATTGAAAGTAATTACTGTAATTAATATAAATTACTAATATAAACGAATCAATTGACATTACACATGATTATTCTGTCGTAAGTATCAAGTCGATATTAGTACATTGTTGTGTAAAAATTAATATTTTTATTTTTATTGTTACTATTTCTTTAATTTCTGTTTAGAGTTTTAATCAATTTTTTTTCAGATTTCAGAAGAAAGAAAGAAATTCAATCTCATATTCTATACTCAGGAGTATTTAATTGGCAAACATTTTGTGTCGTCGCTGATTATTACTTTGCGGTTATCTTTCGTACAGGTAGCTAATATTACCTCTAATCAGTTTTCTTCCCTATTTGATTCTGTTGTTCAGTATTCCCTGCCCTTTATCCACAGGAGATATATTCTAAAACAGACCCTACCCATGCTACGGATGACTGAAAAGGCAGATATTACCCCATAAACACAGCATTTTGTGATTTTGTGCATACATATCAAGAATAAACTTTTATTTATGAATTAGGCACAGTAAAAGATTAACAACTATGACTAATAAAATAACAATAATACAATTTATATGATGGACAAAAGATCCGTTCTTACTGTAGACATTATTAGGCGTAATAAAAGGTTAGCATCAATGACTGAAAATGAAATACAATTATACCAACATGCTGGAATAAAAGTTATGTGATGAATAAAAATTCGTTCTTACCGTAGATCTTATTAGGCACAATACGAGATTAACAACAATGACTAATAATAAAGTAGAACAATTATAACCATAGATATACTATTATTTTCTTTTAGTGCACATTACAAAAGTTTTTATACTTCGTTAAATTATGAGCGTACTATATACACGGTATCTTTCCCTTCAAAAACCTATCTCAAAAATCTTTTTAAATGAGATACCAATATGGCGAATTATATGATTGTTAGTAAACAAAATAGATATTAATTGGATATGATACAAACAATGAATTCCTAGGATTTCTGATAACCAATTCTATTATATGCATTCTCAGCAAGCATCTGATGGAAATGGGTATGGACAAATCATTTCTGTTAATATCTGTTTAATACAAAGCATCTGATCCTCCTCAAAAAAATACATGACCATTTTCTGTCAAACCAGTTCTGCTATCAATAGCTCCATCCAGTGTTTCCTTCCTAATCAGCTGATAGATGAAGGTTTTTTTTCTGGGCTACCTCTTGATCTTTTCCTATAATTTGGTTCCCATAATACAATCAAATGTCTACTCAGTTCTACCATTCTGAGCAAAACGTTATCACTCAGTTAATCAATGAATGTTTTTGCTGGTCTCCTCCTTGATCTTTTCCTATAATTTGCTTCCCATAGTACAATGAAAGCTCTACGCAGTAGTTCCTTTCTGATCCCGGTTGATCGATGATTTTTTTATGGCCTACATCTGGATATTAACCTATAATTTTTTCCCCATAGTATAATGAAAGTTCTAGCGCGTACACACTTTCTGATCCAGGCGTTATTATTAATCGATCTGTGAATGTTTTTTGGATTTTTTTTTTCTTTTTTGTTTTTTCTGGCCTACCTCTTGAACTTTCCTATAATTTGTTTCCCATGGTATAATTAAAGGTCTGCCCAGTACTTCCTTTCTGATCCAAGTGTTACATCTCAGTTGATCAATGGATGTTTTTTCTGGTCTATATCTCAATGTTTTCCTATAATTTGGTTCCCATAGTATAATGAAAGGTCTACCCATTACTTCCTTTCTGATCTCAGCATTATATCTCAGTTGATCAATGAATGTTTTTTCTGGTCTAACTCTTGATCTTTTCCTATAATTTGGTTCCTATAGTATAATGAAATGTCTACCCAGTACTTCCTTTCTGATCCCAGTGTTATATCTCAGTTGATCAATGGATGTTTTTTTCTGGTCTACATCTCAATTATTTTCCTATGATTTGGTTCCCATAGTATAATGAAATATCTACCCAGTACTTCCTTTCTGATCCCAGCATTATATCTCAGTTGATCAATGAATGTTTTTTCTGGTTTAACTCTTGATCTTTTCCTATAATTTGGTTCCCATAGTATAATGAAATATCTAACCAGTACTTCCTTTCTGATCTCAGCATTATATCTCAGTTGATCAATGAATGTTTTTTTTCTGGTCTAACTCTTGATCTTTTCCTATAATTTGGTTCCCATAGTATAATGAAATGTCTACCCAGTACTTCCTTTCTGATCCCAGCATTATATCTCAGTTGATCAATGAATGTTTTTTTCTGGTCTAACTCTTGATCTTTTCCTATAATATGGTTCCCATAGTATAATGAAATGTCTACCCAGTACTTCCTTTCTGATCCCAGCATTATATCTCAGTTGATCAATGAATGTTTTTTTCTGGTCTAACTCTTGATCTTTTCCTATAATTTGGTTCCTATAGTATAATGAAATGTCTACCCAGTACTTCCTTTCTGATCCCAGCATTATATCTCAGTTGATCAATGAATGTTTTTTTCTGGTTTAACTCTTGATCTTTTCCTATAATTTGGTTCCCATAGTATAATGAAATGTCTACCCAGTACTTCCTTTCTGATCCCAGCATTATATCTCAGTTGATCAATGAATGTTTTTTTCTGGTCTAACTCTTGATCTTTTCCTATAATTTGGTTCCCATAGTATAATGAAATGTCTACCCAGTACTTCCTTTCTGATCCCAGCATTATATCTCAGTTGATCAATGAATGTTTTTTCTGGCCTGCCTCTTGATCTTTTCCTGTAATGTGTTTCCCATAATATAAGCTAATGAACAATCTCTTGTTTACTACTCCGAAAATGGCTACAAAACCACACTTATCTTTTTATATATTGTTCCCATCTTGCAAATGTTCTTAAGAATTGTAATGGATGCAGCTAAAACTTTTGTTGTGATGCAGAGAAATACTTTCAAAACAAACAAATTCAATACATATGTTTTAAAATATATTTTTTTATCACTTTTAACGTTAATTTTAGTGCATACACGTATTTGTGTAGACGCTCCACTTATTTATAAAACATTATATTTCTTTATTTTCGTCTAGCGGCCTGAATATTTGACACTTCTTATTTAAGAAAAATATGCGCTCTCCAATAGGATTCGAACTTGCATCCTCTCTAAGCCAAGAGAACAGTCGTTAGATCTGACGTGCTTTAGACCGAGTGATACACAGAGAACTTAAACAATCAACCAAGGTTGAATAGTGCATTAAGCTCTTGATTACTTTTCTCATAGATTAGTAGAAAAAGAGTATAAAGAAAGAAAGAAAGAAAAAAAAAAAGAATCTCAGAAAGAAATCTCAGTTGAAAGAAAGAAAGTTTTTTCTGGTTTAACCTTTGACTTTTCCATATGAACGTTAACATGAATTACCAAAGACTTTTTTGGGTGGAATGATTAACCAAACTTCCTTTTCTGATCCCAGGAAAATATTCAAGTGATACAAAGAATAACATATTTTTTTTCATGGTCTTACCAAGGACTTTTGGACAGAATAATTTGGTAATGAAAGTAAGAAAGAAATGTCTAAAGAAAGAAAGAAAGAAAGAAAAGATATTCAAGTGATACAGAAGAATGACATATGAAGGTTAACATGAATTACCAAGGACTTTTGGACAGAATGATTATTATAATGAAAAGAAAGAAGAAAGAAAGAAAGAAAAAGAAAGAAAAGATATTCAAGTGATACAAAGACTATGACATTTGAAGGTTAGCATGAATTACCAAAAAGACTTTTCCTATAATGATTGTTATAATGAAAATAAAAAATGTCTAAAAGAAAGAAAAAGAAAGAAAGAAAAGAAAGAAAAAGTTGAAAGAAAGAAATTCAAGTGATACAGAAGACATTAACATATGAACATTAGCATGAATTACCAAAACTTTTGGATAGAATGATTATTATAAATGAAAACCCAGAAAGAAAAGAAATCCCAGAAATTCAATCTACAGAAGACATTAACATATGAACATTTCATGAATTACCAAAAGACTTTTGGATAGAATTTGTTATTATAATGAAAAGAAAGAAAAGAAAGACATTCAAGAAGAAAGACATTCAAGAAAGAAAAGAAAGAAAAGAAAGAAAAGAAAGAAAGAAAGAAAGACATTGAAATGATACAGAATACTATAACATATGAAGGTTACCATGAATTACCAAATGTCTTTTGGATAGAATGATTATTATAATGAAAAAAGAAAGAAAGAAAGAAATCAATGAAAGAAAGAAAAGAAAGAACTCTTGAAAGATATTCAATAATACAGAAGACTATAACATATGAAATGTCTACCCAGAATTACCAAGGACTTCTGGATCCCATTATTATATCTCAGAAAAGAAAGAAAGAAAGAAAGAAAGAAAGAAAGAAAGAAAGAAAGAAAGAAAGAAAGAATATTCAAGTGATACAGAAGACTATGACATATGAAGGTTAGCATGAATTACCAAAAGACTTTTTGGAATGATTATTATAATGAAAAGAAAGAAAGAAAGAAAGACATTCAAGAAGAAAGAAAAGACATTCAAGAAAGTAAAGAAAGAAAAGAAAGAAAGAAAGAAACATATAAAAGAAAGAAAGAAAGACATTGAAATGATACAGAATACTATAACATATGAAGGTTAGCATGAATTACCAAAGACTTTTTTCTAGAATGATTATTATAATGAAAAGAAAATTTGGTTCCTCCCAGAAAGAAAGAATGAAATGTCTAAAAAGAAATTCAAGTGATACAGAAGACATTAACATATGAACATTAGAATGAATTTTTTCAAAGACTTTTGGACAGAATGATTATTATAATGAAAAGAAAGAAAGAAAGAAAAGAAAGAAAGAAAAAGAAAGAAAGAAAGATATTCAAGTGATACAGAAGATCTATAACATATGAAGGTTTTTCTGAATTACCAAGGACTTTTGGACAGAATGATTATTATAATGAAAAGAAAGAAAGAAAGAAAAAAAGAAAAGAAAGAAAAGAAAAGAAATCTCAGTTGAGAAAGAATGTTTTTTTCTTCAAATAATGCAGTATAACACATGGAGGTTAGCATCAATTATAAAAGACTTTTGGATAGAATGATTATTATAAAAAAAAGAAAGAAAAGAAAGAAAGTTGATCAATGAATGTTTTTTTCTGAAAGAAAGAAAGAAATTCAAATAATGCAGAAGACTATAACACATGGAGGTTAGCATGAATTACCAAAGACTTTTGGACAGAATGATTATTATAATGAAAAGAAAGAAAAAGAAGTTTTTTCTGGTCTAAAAAAAAGAAATAATTTGGTTCAAATAATGCAAAGTCTATAACACATGGAGGTTATCCCAGCAATTATCAAAGTTTTTCAATAGAATGATTATTATAATGAAAAGAAAAAAGAAAGAAAAAGAAAAATTTGGTTCCCAAAGGTAAAATGAAAAGTCTAGAAAGAAAAAAGAAAGAAAGAAATTCAAATAATGCAGAGACTATAACAATGGAGGTTAGCATCAATTACCAAAGACTTTTGGATAGAATGATTATTATAATGAAAAGAAAGTAAGAAAGAAATGTCTACCCAGAAAGAAAGAAAGAAAGAAAGAAAGAAATTCAAATAATGCATGACTATAACACATGGAGGTTAGCATGAATTACCTTTTTCTTTTGGATAGAATGATTATTATAATGAAAAGAAAATGAAGAAAAGAAAAAAGAAAGAAAGAAAGAAAAGAAAAAAGAAAGAAAAAGAAAGAAATCTTTTCAAATAATGCAGAAGACTATAACAAATGTTAGCATGAATTACCAAAAGACTTTTGGATAGAATGATTATTATAATGAAAAGAAAGAAAAAGAAAAGAAAAAAGAAAGAAAGAAAGAAAGAAAAAAATTCAAATAATTTTTTTAAGACTATAACACATGGAGGTTATTTTCAATTACCAAAGACTTTTGGATAGAATGATTATTATAATGAAAAAAAAGAAATATTTCTTTAAAGAAAAAAAGAAAAGAAAGAAAAGAAAGAAAAATTCAAATAATGCAGAAAACTATAACAATATGGAGGTTAGCATGAATTACCAAAGAGAACAGGACAGAATGACTTATTATAATGAAAAGAAAGAAAAAAGAAAGAAAACAAAAGAAAGAAAGGAAAGAAAGAAAGAAAGAAAGAAATTCAAATAATGCAAGATTATAACACATGGAGGTTAGCATCAATTAAAAGACTTTTGGATAGAATGATTATTATAATGAAAAAAAAGAAAAAAGAAAGAAAGAAAAAGAAAGAAAGAAAAAGAAATTCAAATAATGCAGAAGACTATAACACATGGAGGTTAGCATGAATTACCAAAGACTTTTGGATAGAATGATTATTATAATGAAAAGAAAAAAAAAAAAGAAAAGAAAGGAAAGAAAGGAAAAAATTCAAATAAAATTCAAATAATGCAGAAGACTATAACACATAAAGGTTAGCATCAATTACCAAAGACTTTTGGATAGAATGATTATTATAATGAAAAGAAAGAAAGAAAGAAAAGAAAGAAAGAAAGAAATTCAGAAAAAGAAAGAAAGAAAGAAATATAAATAATGCAAAGACTATAACACATGGAGGTTAGCATCAATTACCAAAGACTTTTGGATAGAATGATTATTATAATGAAAAGAAAGAAAGAAAGAAAGAAAGAAAGAAAGAAAGAAAGAAAGAAAGAAAGAAAGAAAGAAATTCAAATAATGCAGAAGACTATAACACATGGAGGTTAGCATCAATTACCAAAGACTTTTGGATAGAATGATTATTATAATGAAAAGAAAGAAAGAAAGAAAGAAATTCAAAAAAGAAAAGAAAAGAAAGAAATTCAAATAATGAAAGACTATAACACATGGAGAGCATCAATTAAAAGACTTTTGGATAGAATGATTATTATAATGAAAAGAAAGAAAGAAAGAAAGAAAAAGAAAAAAGAAATTCAAATAATGCAGAAGACTATAACACATGGAGGTTAGCATCAATTACCAAAGACTTTTGGATAGAATGATTATTATAATGAAAAGAAAGAAAGAAAGAAAGAAAGAAAGAAAGAAAGAAAAAAAAATTCAAATAATGCAGAAGACTATAACACATGGAGGTTAGCATGAATTACCAAAGACTTTTGGACAGAATGATTATTATAATGAAAAGAAAAAAAAGAAAGAAAGAAAGAAAAGAAAGAAAAAAAAAGAAGAAATTCAAATAATGCAGAAGACTATAACACATGGAGGTTAGCATCAATTACCAAAGACTTTTGGATAGAATGATTATTATAATGAAAAGAAAGAAAAGAAAGAAAGAAAAAGAAAGAAAGAAAAGAAAGAAAAGAAAGAAAGAAAGAAAGAAATTCAAATAATGCAGAAGACTATAACACATGGAGGTTAGCATCAATTACCAAAGACTTTTGGATAGAATGATTATTATAATGAAAAGAAAAAAAAAAGAAAAAGAAAGAAAGAAAGAAAAGAAAGAAAGAAAGAAAGAAAGAAAAGAAATTCAAATAATGCAGAAGACTATAACACATGGAGGTTAGCATCAATTACAAAAAGACTTTTGGATAGAATGATTATTATAATGAAAAGAAAGAAAGAAAGAAAAAAAAGAAAGAAAGAAAGAAAAAAGAAATTCAAATAATGCAGAAGACTATAACACATGGAGGTTAGCATGAATTACCAAAGACTTTTGGACAGAATGATTATTATAATGAAAAGAAAGAAAGAAAGAAAGAAAGAAAGAAAGAAAGAAAGAAAGAAAGAAAGAAAGAAAAAGAAAGAAATTCAAATAATGCAGAAGACTATAACACATGGAGGTTAGCATCAATTACCAAAGACTTTTGGATAGAATGATTATTATAATGAAAAGAAAGAAAGAAAGAAAGAAAGAAAGAAAGAAAGAAAGAAAGAAAGAAAGAAAGAAATTCAAATAATGCAGAAGACTATAACACATGGAGGTTAGCATCAATTACCAAAGACTTTTGGATAGAATGATTATTATAATGAAAAAAGAAAGAAAGAAAGAAAGAAAGAAAGAAAGAAAGAAAGAAAAAAAAAAAAGAAATTCAAATAATGCATGAAGACTATAACACATGGAGGTTAGCATCAATTACCAAAGACTTTTGGATAGAATGATTATTATGAAAAAAAGAAAGAAAAAGAAAGAAAAAAGAAAGAAAAGAAAGAAAGAAAGAAAGAAAGAAATTCAAATAATGCAGAAGACTATAACACATGGAGGTTAGCATGAATTACCAAAGACTTTTGGACAGAATGATTATTATAATGAAAAGAAAGAAAGAAAGAAAGAAAGAAAGAAAGAAAGAAAGAAAGAAAGAAATTCAAATAATGCAGAAGACTATAACACATGGAGGTTAGCATCAATTACCAAAGACTTTTGGATAGAATGATTATTATAATGAAAAGAAAGAAAGAAAGAAAGAAAGAAAGAAAGAAAGAAAGAAAGAAAGAAAGAAAGAAAGAAAGAAATTCAAATAATGCAGAAGACTATAACACATGGAACATAGCATCAATTACCAAAGACTTTTGGATAGAATGATTATTATAATGAAAAGAAAAGAAAGAAAGAAAGAAAGAAAGAAAGAAAGAAAGAAAAGAAAAAAAAAGAAAAGAAATTCAAATAATGCAGAAGACTATAACACATGGAGGTTAGCATGAATTACCAAAGACTTTTTTGGACAGAATGATTATTATAATGAAAGAAAGAAATTCAAGAAAGAAAGAAAGAAAGAAAGAAAAGAAAGAAAGAAAAGAAAGAAAGAAATTCAAATAATGCAGAAGACTATAACACATGGAGGTTAGCATCAATTACCAAAGACTTTTGGATAGAATGATTATTATAATGAAAAGAAAGAAAGAAAGAAAGAAAGAAAGAAAGATATTCAAGTGATACATAAGACTATAACATATGAAGGTTAGCATGAATTACCAAAGACTTTTGCGAGGAATGATTATTGTAATGAAAAAGAAAGAAAGAAAGAAAGAAAGAAAGAAAGAAAACGAAATCAAGAAAGAAAGGAAGAAAGATATTCAAGTGATACAGAAGAGTGATACATATGTAACGTTAGCATGAATTATCAAATTCATTTAGGCAGAATGATTGCTACAATGAAAAGACAAACATTCAAGTGATACAGAAGACTGCAATATATGAATGTTAACATGAAATAACATTCTAAATTCTAGTCTATTTCATTTTTTGTCTGTTCTGTAAACAAAGTTATCTTTGTGAAGGTTAAATTCGCAACTTAATTGTAATGCAATAAAGTGATTAAAACTATATAAACCTGTACAAGAATCTATTATCTTATCATTTGGATATTTTAAATTAGTAAAAAAGTAGCAGTAGTAATATTCAGTCTATCGCTATCAGATTTTAGACATTATTTTTGTGATTACCTGATACATGATGGATTCTTTTATCTTGTAAATTATATTAAATGTTATGATATATTAGGACTTGCATATACCTAACTACTTTTTCCTAGGTTTAATGATGTACGTAACGGTTCATACACTTCACCAAATCATTTTGATTTTAAACGTCACCCTACTGTGTATATCATTAATTATTCAATGACATTTTTGTACAATATACATTAAATTCGATAACGTTAAAGCATAAAGATTAAAAGTTAGATAAGATCCGAGCAGGCAGGTTACAGACAGTAGTGAAGTAATACGGCGGTGTACAGGTACATCTCCAAATATCTTAATGGCCAATGTCTGGCAACTGATTTCTCTTCTGACCTAACTTTCACAGCTCAACAGGAGGGATAAATAGACTCAAAACAAAGCTCGTAACGTGCCATCTTCACTGAACAGAACCTAAATTCGCTCCAATCCTGATGAGCGGCCATAACTTTAATGAGACTCACTGTTTCGAACGCAAGACTAAAGCTCACACCAGATCTCAAATAGAACACTTATATTGGTAACATCGCTAAAGAATTGAAGAATGGTCGGTTTCTTGTATCGTACCAGAAAATGCCATACACCTTCTGTTCTTCACGAGTCAGATCAGAATAAGATTGGTGTACTGCTGCCATATCTGGGCAAGTATTGCCCAGTTCTCACTCTCCAACGTCGACAAAGTTCAAAAGCTACTACACGGCCATGTGGGTAATGAATTATTATCCAACCTGGAATCCACAGTCGAAACGATGCTTTATCGCTATTACTGTGGAAAATATTCAAACGATTACCTTCTATAGTCCCACCAGCTGAGACCTTCACAGATAGCATCCACATTGTAATATATACGGTGGCAAATCATCCCCATTTTTTTCGTGTTCCTTTGGTAAGAAATAAGTTCCATCCACACAATTTCTTCTCTACAACTCTGTTATAAACTCCCGGGTGGATACTTCCCGGATTGCTACAATCTTAACCTTTTCTAATCTAGGATCAACCGATATCTGTCCGATATATCTTCATTATTTACAATATATATATATATATATATATATATATATATATATATATTGTATTCGTTCTTTTGTCCTTATCTTTGTTGTTGTTATCACAACGTTTCGGCCGTTGTACCTCTGGCCTTCCTCAGGTGTATATCGATCTGGATAACCGATAGGGAAATTATTTAATTTACAGGAATAGACTATACTTGTTCCACTACTCATTTCTAGGGATTTCGTCTAGTTTTCATCTGTATAATATGCGCACCCTTCCGCATCACTTACAACAATCTTACTCAGTATCCCTTCACCTTGAGTGTTCTTTGAGCGTTATAGAACTACAGTAAAAAATACGATTCACTTACCTCGAATGAAAAGACCAAATAGGGAAATATTTTATCAGTAAAATATTGCAATCATTTTTAATATTAATTTTTATTTGAAAAAATATATCATAATTTCCACTAAGCAAAATCGTATCATTGAAATTGCCCTAATTTTTCTTCTTGTAGCAAGCGTAATCTGATGTACAAATTTTGCAGTCAATAATATTAGAAAAAAGAAATTTAGAATGTTTTATTGATTGTAAAATTTGTACATCAGATTACGTTGCTACAAGTGGAAGGATGATATATTTTTTTCAAAGAAATAGTGAATTAATATTTGCAATGATTGCAAGATTTTACTGATAAAATAAATTAAAATAAAATTAAATTAAATTAAAGAAAAAATTGTTTCCTTTAAAATGATTAAGCTTTGGTTTTAATATTAGAAAAAAAAATTTAGAATATTTAAGCAAAAACTCATTTTCATCAAAATACAATTTTTTTCATTCATTTACTCCAGGAAAGAAAATGCTTATTTGCATTGCACGCAATAAAAATATAATAAAAAATTAAAACATTGTCAGACATTTTTTTTTTTTTTTTGCATGTTTTTATTTTTTAATCATTTCACCCGAAGCAAGGCAATAAAGCCACTAGGACGCGAGGGGGTTACTGAGTGTTAGTAATTTTTCTCATATTTTCTATTAAAGGAAGAAGACAATAAAAGACAAAGAATTAAGAAGTCAGGAGATAACGATTAACATTGCATTTAAATTTAGTTGCAATATAAAGCACAGGTGGGTTCTATGGGTGTATTTTTTAAATCATTTCTCCCCATGCAAGACAGTAAAGTCACTAAGAAACAAGGAGGCTAATGAGTGTGAAAGAATAAGAAAGGAAGAGAAACAATAAGGAGACATTAGATAACGATTGACATTGCATTTAAATTTCTGAAGACCAAAGTTGGCTGAAAATCATGGCCCCGGAAGGGAGCACGAGAAGTGCGAGAAGAGAAACTATTAGCATAGAACTTAAGGTTACATCTAGCCCATTCAAATGATGAGACCTAGCTAGCAATCTAGTACTGCACTTAAATTCATAAAGACTATGTACCTTAGCGAAAAGTTCATCCGAACAACTACCATAAAAGTATACAAAATATTATTGTTTAACAATACAGGTAGTGAAGAGGTGTTACTACTCAAACACCCACGCAAGCACTTATATATATATATATATATGTGTGTGTGTGTGTGTGTATTTAGGCATCAAATTCTCTTCTGGGCATGTCTGATTGAATAAATTACAAACATTATGCTTATTTTTATCATAATCCTTTCATATTCACGAATATTTTTCCGTATATTACAATTATATACATATAAGCAACGGCCATATTTTTTTCATCTTAGTCTTTCCTGGGGGTATAAAAGCTCCAATTTTCGCATTACAGCTGCCGACAGCCTGACGATTATAGTAGTGGTCGGACTATGTATATCTGAAAGGTGATTCCTTGTTCAGAAAAGCTCTACCATATATTGTATGGTGTTGAGCACCATCCTTTATGGTGTGCATAAGAGTTGCTTATTTCTTTTACGATCTACTTATATATATATATATATATATATATATATATATATATATATTATGAAATGGACGACAATTATTTTAAGACATTTTTATGTTTATACATTCTTTTTATAGATACAAATATTTAAGTAAATGCTCTGTTTATAATAAACAGTATTAAACAACATTTACCGGCCTGAATGTCCGAGAAATTTTCACAGAAAATATTCGTCCTCCGACAGGATTCGAACCTGTATCCTATACGGAACCGTCATTTAGCTTGACGTATATAGGATACAGGTTCGAATGCTGTCGGAGGACGATTAGAGTTGTAGAGGGTTTGTTGAAGGCTTCCTATGGAAACAGTATTCTTTGAGTATGCTAAAATTCCTGTTTAATCCTAGAATGTGTGAATTTATTCTATATGATATATCTGGCAAACTTTATCGAAACTAATATGCAACCCAACTAAATTTTTATCATTTAATTTAAATATTAAATGATGTAAATAATATAATTGATTCTCAATATCAGAAGAATAGGAAAAATTTATGTTTCGCGTAAACTGTACACATCTCGGTGTTACTTTAAAATATTTCTCAGTTACTTATATATATAGGAATTAATTATGAGGGAATTACACATCTCGATCTTGATTTAAAATATTTCTCTGTTGCTTGTATATATAGGAATTAATTACGAGGAAACTACTCAAAGAATGAATGAAATAAAGTTGAATCGTATTCAGATTATTCAAACTAACAAATTCCTGTTAACAGGCCAAAAGATCTGGAATTCGAGCACGAAAATCATTTATGTGATAGGTATAAACTGCTTAAATTTATCAATTTACCCCAGGCAAGGTGATTATGCCACTAAGACGCAAGGGTTTCCTGGGTGTGAAAATGAATAAGACTTTAGAACGAACCGGAAACCAAATTCTAGACAGGAAACAAGATATAAAACGTTTACTCCTTTTCAAAAGAACGGGAAGGAGTGTGAACCGGGCGATTGGCGAACTAATCTAAGCATGATTATAATAATTACGGTGGTGGTGGCTTTGGTGTAATAACTGATGAAAAATGATTGGTTGTCATAATGTGGGAAGGAGGAACTTGAAGACGCCCTTTTTACATCCGATGAAAAACTGATTGTTATTCTGCTGAACGTACTTTGAATTTAGGGACTTAACTTTTACGGACGAAATGCGATTTTACACGTACTTTATGTTTAATCGAAAGGGAGGGAAAAGCTTAATGCACTCTTCACAATTTGTATAATATATGTCTAGGCTTTCATTCACAGATTAAAAACGAATTGATTTTCTGAAAATATCTATGTTAGTTCAACTACGAAAAAATTTATCGTACTGCACGATTACATCCAATGGTATAGTATCCAGTGCTTTATCTAGATAACCGCTGACTACCATCCTCACTTTTTATACTTTTATACTAGTACTTTACCTGTTACATGATTGGTATATAGTAGAAAATGTATTAATAAACCACCAAATCCTTTTAATATAAATGTTGCTTGTAAGTTTATTTTCTGTCTTTTCAATCCATTATTGTCACTCTCTTTTATTCTATTTGCTTTGATGATTCTTTTCTCCTTTCTTTCTTTCAAACTTTCTTTCTTTCTTTCAAACTTTCTTTCTTTCTTTCAAACTTTCTTTCTTTAATATTTTCATTTTTTCTTTCATACATTCTTTCTTTCTAATCATTCTTTCCAAATGCACAAATATCTTTCATATATTCTATTTCATATTCCTTCTTTCTTTCTCACTTTCTTTCACATCTACCTTCTTTCTTTCACACTTTCCTTCAAATCTCATTTCTTTCTTTCACACTTTCTTTTACATCTTTCTTTCACATTTACCTTCTTTCTTTCCCACTTTCTTTCACAACTTATCTCTTTCTTTCACATTTTCATTCTTTCTTTTACACTTTCTTTCACATCTTTCTTTCAGATCTTCCTTCTCTCTTTCACAAATTATTTCACATCTTCTTTCTTTCACATTTTTATTCTTTCTTTGACACTTTCTTTCACGTCTTCTTTCTTTTTTCACATCTTCTTTCTTCCTTTCACATATTCCTTCTTTTACATCTTCTTTATTTCCTTCACACTTTCTTACCCGCCTTCTGTCTTTTACACTTTCTTTCTTTTCATAATAATAATCATTCCGTCCAAAGTTATTTGGTAATACCTGGTAATCTTCATATATTATAGTCTTCTGCATAACTTGTGTGCCTTTCTTTCTTTCTTTCTTTCTTTCTTTCTTTTCTTTTCATTATAATAATAATTCCACCTTTGATAACTCATGCTAACTTTCATATATTATAGTTTTCTGCATCACTTGGATATCTTTCTTTCTTTCTTTCTTTCTTTCTTTTCATTATAATAATCATTCTGTCCCAAAGTCTTTAGTAATTCATGATAACCCTAGTCTGTTATAGTCTTCTGGGTCATATCTTTTCGATTCATTCTTTCTTTCTTTCATTCATTCTTTCTTTCTTTCTTTCTTTTCATTATGATAATCATTCTGTCCCAAAGTCTTTAGTAATTCATGATAACCCTAGTCTGTTATAGTCTTCTGGGTCACTTCGATATCTTTCTTTCTTTCATTCATTCTTTCTTTCTTTCTTTCTTTTCATTATGATAATCATTCTGTCCCAAAGTCTTTAGTAATTCATGATAACCCTAGTCTGTTATAGTCTTCTGCGTCACTTGGATATCTTTCTTTCTTTCATTCATTCATTATTTCTTTCTTTCTTTCTTTCTTTCTTTTCATTATAATAATAATTCCACCTTTGATAACTCATGCTAACTTTCATATATTATAGTTTTCTGCATCACTTGGATTTCTGTCTTTCTTTTCATTATAAGAATCATTCTGCCCAAACGTCTTTGAGAATTCATGCTAACATTCATATGTTATAGTTTTATTTTTCTTTCTTTCTTTCTTTCTTTCTTTATCATTTTCTTCCTCTGTTTTTATCCATTTTATCCTTTCTCTCTTTGTTTCATTTACTATCTTTTATTAGTTCTCTTACTTGAATCACTCTCTTTCGAAGTTTCAATTGGTCTTTCTTTATCTTTCTTATTCTTTTTATTATTACTACTTATTCCTACAGTTTCTTTCTCGGTTCATTTCTCTCTCTCTCTCTCTCTCTCTCTCTCTCTCTCTCTCTCTCTAAAGGCTATTTTCTTTCATTTTACCTTAATCATGTTCATTTTCTTTCTGTCACTTTCTTTACCTTTCCACTTTTTTGTTTTGTTTTCTATTCTTTTTTCTTTATACTTTTCCTTCTCTGACGTTCTTACAGCTTTTAATACACAAACAGAACCTTGTGAATAGCTTCTCTATCTTTTGTATGATAGCATGAACAACCTCCTTCACAGGTCTTAGGTTAACAAACGAACCTTGTTGACGCACGGAATTGCGTCCTCTTCAGCCTGTTATATACTTTCTCGAGTCAAAATTACAATACAATGCTGACCTGACGATAGTCCCTCGTCGTACGCGTTAGTCTCCTCTGCAAATGAACTTGTTAATCGCATCACAGTTTACAGTACATGCACTTTCAAGGCTAGGTTAGCCTTCACTTCGAACAGAAGAATCACATATTGCTAGTAAATAGCGGGAACTAGCTGTGTAAAGTATGTTGATTATCAACCCGACAAATGAAAGCGACGGCTTTGTTTGTTCTGACTTCGCGGCTTATGTGACTATATTAGTTTTGTGTGCGGAAGTATATATTAGCACGTATTTATAGTAATTCGCCCATAGCTACATGGCTCAGTGGGATAGTTGTAGCCCGAAGGAAAAAAGGTTCAGTTTCATCCGGCAATAAAATCGGATATTTGAAACACGATTCGGAAACAATAAAGATTAAGTGTATACATTATTTTAAAGCCTGTAACAAAAAGGAATAATTTAGAGGTATATTTTCATAGATATCTTCGAAATTCCACTTCTTCCAAATTCTTCATCATGGTCTCCGATGCACCTGAAAAATAACTGACTATTCAGCTATCAATGTCATGTTCCACAATTTATTAACTTTTTTGGTAAAAGGGACAGAGGAAATCAGCGAATATTCTACCTAACGAACTTAAAATGGATGGCAACAAAAAGGAATTTAGCAGAGATAGCAAAAGGGAAAAAATTATTAAGAGCAACAGGGAACAGAAAATTGTGTAGAGCCATGATCGCCAACGTCCTGATGAGCCACTGCACAAAGAAGAAGAAGAAGAAGAAGAAGAAGAAGAAGAAGAAGAAGAAGAAGAAGAAGAAGAAGAAGAAGAAAGAGTTTGCGTAAATGGTTGGCAGAAGAGTGTTTAGGAGACATAACAAAAAGACAAAATTTATTAAGAGCTACAAAGGACAAGAAATTGTGGAGAGCCATGATCGCCAACGTCCTGAAGGGTCACGGCACATAGAAGAAGACAAAAGAGTTGTGTAAATAGTTGACAGAACACTGTTTAGGAGACATAGCGAAAAGACAAAATTTATTAAGAGCTACAAAAGACAGGAAATTGTGGAGAGCTATGATCGCCAACGTCCTGAAGAGTCACGGCACATAGAAGAAGAAGAAAAGTTGTGTAAATAGTTAACAGAACTTTAGCGATCGTCAGACAAACTTTGTTTGTCTGACGATCGCTAAAGCGTGAAACCCAGGGTCACAAACTCACATCTATCCAACCAAAATATATATATATATATATATATATATATATATATATATTCGCAGACAGTACTACTTCGCTGCATCACAGCTCCTCAGTGCTACTAGACATCAGAATGTAACTTACTTATCTGTCATTCAATTTTTCATTAATCTGCTTTGTTCAGTCCTCAAATTTCTTGTTCGCAGAGTTGATATAATGTTCAATCTTCCTACTTTTTTCAACCAGTACCGAAACACGACAGATTTGGTGTTAGTCAGAGTTTCTACCACTGAGCTACCATCACGATATTGAGTCACCCGCCCCACGAGGGTGTCATGTGGCACAAGGCCTTTTTAACGTGGGCATTCCGAGCCCGTGGGCTCGGTCAAAAATATGCCCATTGAACTCGTATATACAGGTTCAGGGCCGGTTTACCTCCCCGAAGGAGACTCCGCCCTTCAGCGGAGCCTCCTTCGGGTTCCTCCCGTCCGTAGGAAGAGAGTACAACCGAGCAGTCGGTTCAAAAGTGAACGACTGACTACCACCACTCGGCAGATAGAAATAGTTTATTCTAGCGTATTGTTTTTACCAATGTAACCAAACGCGAATCAGTCATAGTGCTCCA